TTGATAAGCAGATTTTAGAATATTCTTAGTGTCATATCGATGGTTAAAAATCTGCCTTCTTTCCCTATCTTTTCCTTCCCAAAAAAATTGTTTGACGAGTTAATTTAAGAAAAAGATATGATACTAATTGACTGATGAGGGAAGTCCTCCAACTGATAAATTGCTTTTGAGTCGAGACTATGTGCATTATGTAAATTCAAACGACCTATAAATACTGTACAAACAACTTTATTGCTTTGGCTTACTGCTGCAGAAACACTGCAGTTTTACAGCATTTTTTAAATGGAATGTCGTGGTCCAAAAAAAGCTGATTTTCGAATTTCAACTTGAAACTTTGCATAGAGACAGACCTTAACGAAAATGGTTTATTGTGAACAGATTTTTTGATTCGTTTCTATCCTGAAATAAGAGCATCAAACCTGGTAGTTTATATTGAGTGACATAAAGAGCACACTATTACCATAGTTGTATTTTAGGATCAGAACAGCGACAAAATCTAAAACACTCACAAAAACTTACCCTTGTTAAGGACTATCTCTATGAAAAGTTCCAAGTCTAAATATAGCATTCATTTAGAAAAATACCGTAAAAATGGAATATTTCTCCAGTAATAAGTTAACAGTACGAACTCTTTTCACAATATTGATAGCTCATGTCGATCAACATAATACACATAGATTCAACTCAAAAATGATTTATCAGTTGGAAGACTTTCCTCATGAGTCAAAGTGTAGCTGGTAGAGATTCATGAATGGACTCGGTTTTTTATTGATTAACTCGGCAACGCTGATAGCTAGCGAGCTCGGGTTTTCGTCGCCAGAAAGAGCATGAGTGGAGGTATAAGTCTACCTGAGAACCAAAATACTTGAAAAGTTTTCTAGCGGGTTCCAGAGATTTTTTGAAAAACTACTGTCTGATTCGCTTAATTAGCTGTATTTGCAAGTGAAATTGAAAACTCAATATCTCGAGAAAGACCCATCTTTTGTAGCTAAAATTTTTAGGATATTCTATCGGCCATTAGATCTATCTGTGAGCAAATTTTCAGGATGAAAACATCTAAAAATTTCGGAGTTTATAAAGTAGACATCGGGCTATAATATGGCTACGTTGAAACTAAAAATAGAGCTGATCAAGTGAATCAGCCAGTAATTTTTCAAAAACTCCTAGGAAACGTTTCAAGTATTTTGATTTTCAGGTAGACTTGTATTCCTAATCATGCTCTTTCTAACAGTGAAAATCCGCGCTCAATTGCTATCAGCGTTGCCAATTGATTCAATAAACAATTGAATCTATTCTTTTTTGAAATGGACAATAGTTTCAAGATTTCAGATACATTTCTTTTCAATAAATATCAAACTCGACATCTACTAACTAGCTTCCTCTTTGTCGAACATGTCCAATAAACAAAAAAAAAACAAACCTTGTTCAGTTCTTGTTTTTCTTAAAAAAATATTTCCTGAATAAGTTTCATTACAATTTCCCAAACATAAATCAATTTTATCAAAAAGTTCATTTATTTTAATAGGAACTATTAAATTAAGATCTGTTAATAATCGACAAGCATGTATTGTTCCATCATTAGATCGATTTGGTTGAATAACACCTTGATAAAGTAGAAATTTATCTGAATGATATTGTTCAATTGTTCGTCGAAGAATTGTTCCAATAACTCGATCGAATCCATGTAAAAGTAGATTATTTCCTAAACGATATGTATCAGAAAATGGAATAATTATTTTTGTTGAATAACCATGATAATCTTGTTCTAATCCATTAATCCATGTATCGAAAATTTTTGCAACACGTATCATTGTTGTTTCATTTATATTAACATTATAAAAAATTTTTGATGTTAATGGAATAATATCATAAATTAATATTAATTTATATCCATCAGATATATAATCAATTTCATGTTTACATTCATTACTCGTTGGAACAATTGTATAAAAACTTGATTTTATTGAATTTTTTTCTGATAAATCAAATATATGTTTTTCTTTGTGATATATTATTGTTTCTTTTCCACCTTTATATGATGATGGTAAACTAAGAAATAATTTTGCTATTGTTAATGGATTTTGTTCATCTTTTGACCAAATAAATTGTCGTGGAAATTGACATGGTTCAAGTAAAACTAGATTTGAAATTTTTAATTCAATTTGATTAGGATCAAGTTCAAGTGATGGACCTATACATGAACGTTTTAGATAAGATTCAATTTTTGTTTGCCATTGTGTATTTAAAATATTAAATGAATTTACTGGTATTTGACAAGATGATGGTAAAAACTAGAAAAATAAAATAAAATGAAAAATAGAATTTTCAAAAAATCTTAAATTTTTCCTGTTTTGAAAAAACTGCATTGTCACTTGCATTAGCATTGCATAGAACATTTTTATATTAAAGCATCATGACAGATAGCATTAGCTATCTTCATTTGTAACTTCTTTAGTTTTTTTCTCAAAACATGATTTCCAGGCAGAGAAATTGAAATAACTCCCACCTGATTTAAGGGGACTCCTGCTTTCCCAATCCAAAATTTTCAGTATTTTCGTTTTTTATTTTTAATGTGTTATATATAGATCTAAATGGTCTCTATCTGATAACCATATTTTAAGAAGGTAAAATCATCCTTTTGCATATAAAAAATCTCAATTTCATGCTAAAAAAGCCAAAAAGTACAACTTTCTTCGTAATTTTCTCAAAATCAGATTTTTAAACAAAAAATTGAAGTTTTCCTCCCTATCCTCCTAGACGGTTTGACCAATTGAGATCAAACTTTTTTAATAAGTACTTCGATCAAATTGGGGTACATGCTTTTTTTTCTCATGAAAATGTTGTACCTATCAAGTTTGACAGATTTTAGAAAATTAGAGCCATTCGAAAAAATAGCTTTTTTTTCATGGTTTTTTTGATAGTGCCTCCACTGTTTTGCTTCTCCTGATTCTCAGGAAAAATATTTTTCAAAGAAAAAAAAAACATGCACCCAGATTTGTTCCTAGTTGCCACAGAAAAATTTGAGCCCTTGATCTGCGGAAGAGTAGCATTGAAGAATTTAGAATCTATGACAACTTTTATTTTACTCGTCGAGATCTATCTATCCTGACAGTTTCAAAAATTTTTGCCAAGCTGTTCTCGAGAAACTTTGGAAACGGGAGTCTCCTTAAGCTATAACCACTGCTTTTTTTATATTGGATTCCTAACCTGAGAAAAGTAGAATTTAGTACCGTGAGGATCACCTTTTTTTTTGTGCTTATTTGAACACCATGTCTATTAAAATGCTCATAAAAAATGAATGAAAGCAAATTTCAAAATTCTGTTCGGACAAAAATTGTTCACAGAGGTTAGCTTTCATCTGAAACCAGCCTGAGCTTTGTACTTCTTATAGTGACGAAGATAAAGCCGTAAATTCAATCTAGTATGACATATTGGGCTGAAATTTTTACCATAAGGATTTCCTACTAGGGTACTCATTCCTATAAATTTCAGCCCAAACGATCCGTTCTGAGGAAAACCATAATTTATTATTACTTTTATGCCTTCTACAATTGATTTGACTGGTAGTACTCTTATTTTAATTATTGCTTCAAGTTTAGAACCGAATTATGTCATATTTCTTTTTTTGGTAAAATGGATCGCAAAGTTTAAGATACTTTTATTTTTGAAATTTTTCATCGAAGATGAGTAGCTAGGTCAAATCCAAATAATGATTTGGATAGCTCTTGAAATTCTCTATCGAATACAATATGTGTCAGATTTTCAAAAGAATCTTGATGAAGAGAGTTTTCCAGAATACTGTGCCAGGGAGATTTCAACTCCTAGGCAATTTTGAGAGGAAGATTTTTCGATATAAACCTCTGAAAGAGTAGAAAATTCTAAATAAAATGAAGGATCACCCAGCTCTGTACAATATTCCGTCACAAAGTTAGAAGCACTAAAAAAAACGAAAAAAAACGGGTTTTTTATTGATTTTTATCAAAAAAGGCCTAAGATTAAATTAAAACCGGATTTTTTTCATTTTTTCTAATACTTCTAACTTTGTGACGGAATATCGTACAGAGCTGGACGATCCTTGATTTTATTCAGAATTCCAAGAGCTATCCAAATTACTATTTGGATTTGACCTAGCTACTCATCTTTGATGAAAAACTTCAAAAATAAAAGTATCTTAAACTTTTGCGGTCCACTTTAGGTGGTATATTGACTGTGACAAATTAATGCACCATACTATTATCATTTAGAGTTCAAGAAAGGGTTTTTCAATACTCCAAAAGAGTTACAGCACTATTTTTACTGTCGTTTTTTGCATTTCTAAGAAACTATAAGTGGTTTTATTTTTCGTTGTTAGGCAAAGAGATTCGTACTCCCAAGGAGATTTACACTCCATCAATTATTTTTCTCAAAACAAAAAACAACAACAACAACAACATACTGAAATTCCATCGACAATATCGATTTTCATATCGAATGGTACAGCTTTTCGAATAAATCTTCGAGCTTCTCGTTTATCCAATGGTAACGATAAAGATCTTTGATGACCATTAATTAATAACATTGGATCATCAATAGTTCCTATTTGTTCACTTGCACACCATCGTGGAAGAACAGGTGGATTATTTGTACTTAATGCTGCATCAAGTAAACGAAGACATTCACGAAAATGTATTGGTTGTGATGTTGATCCATGATCATCATCATCATCATCGTCATCATCTGTATCTTCATCTATACTATAAAATTTAACCACGAAAAGAGAAAAATAATAAAACTTTGATTACCTGTTGTATCAAATTCATCATAATCAGTTGTATCATCATCAAATTCTTCTTCGTCACTATTCATATCTATTTGAATTAAACAACAAAAAAAAAACAACAAACAAATTTCTATAAAACACACATCTGAATTCTTTCTTATTTTCTCGAGAAATAAACAAAACAAAAAAAGAAAAAAAACACACACAATGGAATGTTTTTGATTAAATTATTTATTTTTTTTTACATATTTTTAATAATATTATCAATTTCTTCTTTTTTAAATAAACGATATCCATTAATATCTACTGTTGCCATCTCAACATTTGTTGCATTTAATTTTTCTTCCATAACTTGTTTAAGTATAGTTAAAACATGTTTACATGCTTCAGATAATTTCATTGATTTATGATAAATATCTTGAAGTGTTTGATCAGCACCTTCACTACCAGATCCAATAGCTTTAGCATCATATTCTGTATATGTACCTGATGGATCAAGATGAAATAAATGTGGGCCATTTTCATCCCAATCAGCAAATAAAAGTGCAACACCAAATGGACGTGATATAGGTGCAATTTCGTCTGAATCATCACTAAATGCTAATGCCATATTTGATACAGCTTGTGTTGTTGATTCAATAGTCATACGTTAATTATGTGTAAACCAATGATTTTGTGCTTCAACACGTGCTTTATCAATTAATGTTTTTGCATCAGCAATTAAACCTGACATAGCACAACCACAACTTAACTGTACATCGATTTCAACTATTTTTTCGATACTACGAGGTTCAATCAATACAGATGTAATACGTTTTTCTGTAGCTAATACAACACGTAAATATTAAAATAAATTTCAAATGTAATATTTTTCAAAATATCTTAAAACATTGTATTCTTTTTTTCAATAAAATTAGAAACTCATCAAGATTTTCAAAATCATCAAACCTTCTTATGTCATAATTCCAATAGCTGTTGTACCAAATTTAATAGCTTCAATGGCATATTCAACTTGAAAGAGACGACCTTCTGGTGAAAATGTATTAACACCTCGATCATATTCACTTCTTGTCATAAACATTTTCTTCTTTTTTTATCTGGAATTTTATCTAAAATAAAAAAAAAAGAACAGACAGTAATCAATTTAATTAAAATTGATTAACTTTATTAGAAAATTTTTATATGGATGATAAATTAACCCGATTAACATTAATACTTGATAGACGTAAATTGAATTATGATATGAGTATGTTTTTTTTAAATGTATTTTGATGATGTTGAAACAGTGGACGATTTAAATAAATAAAATTCAACCCCAATTATTCATCAAATTCAGAACGGACATTTTCAAAATCTTATGTACAAAACTGACATTCCGATCAAAATTAAAACAATTGGAATTATTCATGTCTGATTTAACATCTATGATATAATGAACACTAATAAGTCTGAATAGTATTCTGCGTAAACGATGATTGAATATAAAGTGTAATGATTTTTATTCATTAAGGTCCCCCTCGTCAAAAATATCGATTTTTGAGCTTTCGACATGGTCGAATAGCCAACATTTTCTACTTTCAGAATCACTCATTCTTAGTTTTTATGATGGTTTCGAGAGGTTTTCAGAAAAATTTACAAACAGAAAATGTTCGTTAAATTTTAGTTTTTGAAGCTCTGTGACTTTTGATCTGAAGAACATATCCCGCATGCTCGAGCAAGTGCACTTCATGCGTTCTCTCGCTACTTGTTCTATGAAGGAAAAACCCTTGGTTTTCAAAGTTCAGCTTTATTTGCTAGGTTTTTTTTTTGTTTATGTGCCCCAGATTCCTTAGCCATTTTACATGTTAGAAAGTTTAGGAAGGTTTTTGATTGAAGAAAAATAATTTGTGCTCAATAACTTAGCACAGCCTGATCTAGTTTTTCAGAAAAATGGATCTTTTTTCATAGGAGTACTCCTATTTTTTCGAAGAAAACTGACACAAAAAATTAATAAAGAAGAATTTTAAAAAATCGAGTTCTGTTAAGTTTTATTCAACGTAATTCATATTAAATACATATGTCTATATAAACATAAGAATCGAAATAGTTTTGTTCATTGAGCATACTAGTTACTACATTCTGAACGTCCTACAATAATGTCAGAAGAAAAAGTTCGTGTGATGTATATTAGTAATGAAAGTATTCTGGTTGTTTGAACTAAGTAAGTGGTATATGATCATCAACAGTTACTGTGAGATATGTATTCAAATGTAACATGTAATTTTAGTTTATCTTTACGTACTAAAATAAACGATCTGTTTTTTTTTAATATTAATTTGTGAGATAATTTAAATCTAACCAATCTTGAATTTCAACATTTCGGTTTAATTTCCATCCAATTTCATCTAGAAACAAGCAGATTTTTAAGAAGACAAAAAACAGAATCCCACTCTAAAACCAACTAATAAATGTTTCTGTGATTTTGTACTTCTGCCGAATTAGTTCTACGAGTAAGTCACAATATACTTGAAACTATTTTGTAAAAAAAACGAAATTAAAATATAAGGATAGCTGTTTGTTCATACGTGGTTATACAAAAGTGAAGACTACATTTGTTCATGTTAGTTCTTTGTTGTCTGGAGTTAATTTCTTATTTTTTTGATTGACTAACTCAATTTAACAAATAATATCAATTCAAGTATCTCTTTTAAAATCGATTCAATTCTTTTTGAATGATAAAAATATCATAAACAATGATCTAATCCTGAAGGAAATTTGTTAAAATCATTAATATGAAATAATTAAGAAGCACGTTAGATGTCACTCATCTACGAACGATTCTTTTTCTTTTGAAATTTTACTCATAGTATTTTAAAAGTTTCATAAAGAAAATTCTAAGTAAATAAAAACATTCACTATATTAATAAACTTTGAGATCCGTCTCTGATCCGTACTGATTATCAGAACCAGTTGACATCAATCGCATTTCATAACTGTGGATTAAAGACTTTTTTTATAGAATATACATGATTATTGATTAATTTTTGTAACATAGGTTGTATGAAATCAGTATCTTCTTAACAACAGAAATAGATACGGATATGAGAATGCAGAGGAAACTAACACTTCTTATTTTAAGTACTGAAAAGAAATTAGTGACCCAACTTTCTCTATGAAAGAGATAGAGTCAAAAACGACTCTTACTATTCTGAGATAGAAAATTTCAAAAACTGATTATATAGTCAACTATCATTATTTTTATTTCATTTGATTTTTCAGATTGAATATTCGGAAATTATCAAAACATTTTCAAGACTTCAAACTGCAGTCTATGCAATTCGATATTGACATTATTCATAATTGAGAACTTAATCGTGCAGTGATTGTTTCTTTTGATTTTTGGAAAATAAATTTTAAATCTTGTTCAAAGATTGTAATCAATTCTGTATGAGAACGTTTATTATAGAAATATTTCAAAAGGATGAAAATACATCAGTGATAATATTTAATAAAATTACATTCATGACGGTATTAGAGTCTGATACTTGAATCTTCCCTCTTCTCTTAGCTGTTTTAAAAGACTCTATGGCAAAATTGAACATATTACGAAAATTTTCGTTGATCGAACAAACAATCGATTTATCTCAAATTTAAATTAAATATAATAATCAATGGACTGTGTTGTAGCTAAATTAAATGAATTGATTATTAATATTATTTTCATTCGTATCGAATTCAAAATCAAATCATCTTATATCAAATATATGCTTTCAATTTTATTTCAGTATTGTGAGATGTAAAACACTGCTCATCAATATTTCACTATGAAATAACATTGTTTATCTATACCAAAGAAGAAATTTTGTTACTATAAAGCAATACTTTAGATATGTTATTCCGTGACAAAGGCTATCGTAGAAGCGATTCGAATCAAACATTTGATTTTAGTTGGTTTCAACACAGAACTTCTGTAGCATGAAAAAGTCTACGATAGGATACAAAGTCAATAGTTGCACTATTTGGAAGAGAAGGTTGTTTTTCGAAATAGTAACTGGTTACATACAAATGCTCAATTCACATTTCCAATGACGGCTAGTTTGAAATAGAAACATTATCATTTTTATCTGAAATCTGAATGATTGTCGATGAGATTATTGTTTCCAAAATATAAATTTTCAGTAAACTATCTATTGTGTACAATTTCGAGTCAATTTGAAAAGACGTTTAGATACTTCGATGAAGAAAAATTTGATCAATAATCAATAGAATTTTGTTTAATGTTGGAGAACATCTGTCCATTTAATTGTAATCAGATCTACATCATGTTTGAAAAGTTTACCGAAATAACATTTGACAAGACTTAAACGATATGAACGAACTTTTTGTTCATTGATTTTAGTCATTGTACCCATGCATAATTAGAATTCAATTATAGAGTTTATCTTTCATCGACATCTTCGACGAATTCTACTTTTTTTTTATCTATAAGAGAAACATTCAACAGCGAAAGTTGAGAAAAGGATGTATAGCCTATTGAATAAGATCATTTGCAAATGAAAATATGGTACGAAAATTGACCTAGGAGTCTTAAGATATGAGACTATTCAAAGTATTTTTATCATCATTCAATATACAGGCGCTGTTACTATTGAATAAACAAGCAGAATAATTTAAATATTTATTCTAACTAATTTTCCAGCATTGAACTGATCTGCTCAGTTCTCAACTACCGAGAAAGTTAGACTTACAAAAGAACATTCCCAGGTATCCGTTCGCTTTTGAGTCGGTACTTAGCGCATCTTGTAGATCTTGATGAGTTATGTCTACCATAAAAAAATTTCATGCTTCTAGTTTATTTTTGAGGAAATGGAACGTTTTTACTATTACAGTCATAAGAGTCATCCTATCAGAAAAAATCGCTATTACAGCCAATATAAATTGAAACGAGCTGAGATTTTCCTCGTGTATAATGGTACTCATGTGGTAGATGATGTGAAAGTTTGAGCCCAAGTGACCTTGAAAAGGCGGGTTATCACAAATGTTACCGTGATTTTCAATGCCATTAATCACCTGCACTAATCCGGGTCATTTCTTGTCAATCACCACGCTTCATGCTCGTACACGAAAGAGACCTCTGTATATTTAACTTACAATATAAGTATTACTACGAACATCAAGATAGAAGACAAAATAAATAAATTATAATGACAAGCTACCATTATCAAATATTGGAAACAGTATTAAGACATTGGTGCTCTCAATTCTAACAGTTTCAGTCCTACGTCTTGTAATTTTAAGAAGTAGTATAATTAATGACATTAAAAGCAACGTTAACATTTATGATAATTCATCATTATAAGGTCATTTGAGCTCAAACTTTCATATTATCTACTACATGAGTACCACTATATACGAGGAAAATCTCAATTCATTTCAATTTATATTGGCTGTGATAGTGATTTTTTCTCATTGGATGACTCTTATAGCTGTAATAGTAAAAACGTTCCATCTCCTCAGAAATAAGCCAGAAGCGCGAACTTTTTTTCTAATACACACAACTCATCAAGGTCTACAAGATATGCTATGTCCCGACTCAAAAGCAAATGGACACCTGAGAATGTTCCCTTGTTAGTTCTGTATTTAGTTGTCATATGATGTTCCATTATAAAAATGAATATACAACTTTTGTTGAGTATTTATCGATGACTCGAATTATCTTATTTGTTAAGTTATTCTCAAGAAAATGAAAATGAAAAGGATTAGTAAAAATTGTTAATTCAAAAACAATGTTCCATTGCTTCGGTCAATGCTATGTCCTTTTCAGATCTCTTTATTACAATACTGAAGAGTATACTATGATCGATCGATTTGATTGTCTGTTTTTGTTGCTTCTATAATATATATTATTTTGCTCAAGTTCTCTAATCTCAATTGAAAATGTTCGTTCTTCTCTTAACTGGTGTAGCCCTTACGGTGTACAATGGATGTTGACTTTATTGAATTATTGTTCAGCAAAATAATCAGATAACAAATAGTACAATATGGCATTGTGTACCAATTTGAAATTCTGATGGCTGTCAATCTCGCATTGCATTGTTTTAA